GAGAGAGAGAGAGAGAGAGAGAGAGAGAGAGAGAGAGAGAGAGAGAGAGAAACAGGAGACCACGGAGAGAGCCAGTTCCCGGTGTTCAGAGAACACCAGCCGCCTCCGGTCCCGGTGGGTGGCTGCATGTGTGGAAATGAAACAGGGTGTGGGAGGGAGAGTGAAGAACAAGCACACACTTTTTTGCCTGTCATCCACTCACCTCGCCTTCCCGACCCTGCAGCCCACGTCCCTTACTGGGGTAGGGGCGGTAGAAGGTGGGAGGAAGACAGTTCGCCAAGCACCCCCCCCTTAAGTACGAGCAACTGTCGGTGAATCAGAACTGTTTCAGCCGCCTGTCACCTACGCTCACTCGGGAGGGGAACAAGGCATCATCCTTGGGACGTGGGACTTGCGACGGGAGGGGGCGGAGGACCCAGCGGTCAGGACGTGGGTGTGTCTACCTCCCAACGTCTAGAGGGGACTTCGGAGAGAATGGGTGGCACGGGGGGGGGGGGACACTTGGAAGCAGGGGAGGCTAAGAGAGAGGGCGGGAGTGTCCTGTGGTGGGAAGCGCCGGGGAGCGGCGCCGGTACTGAGGGGCGGCTGCTGCTGCCGCCAGTGCGCGGGGTTATGCGAGGTAACCGAGCCTGGAGGAGGAGGGAGGCGGCGTGGGCCGCGGGCCGGGGTGTCTGGCGCTCGTTGGACAAAGAGATGATGAAACGTGAGCGCTATATTTACCAAGGGGGTGGAGACGGGTGGGAGGGGGGTAAAAAGGACAAACTGTTCCACAACAACCACAGGAAACACAGCCCTTCTGACTCACCCAGAGGGCCGCGCCGACCCCTGTGCAAGCTTAGCCCCGAGGCAGTACCGGAGCCGTGGGGAGGGGTAAGGGGGGGGGGGACGGGCACCGGTACCAAACCGAGCCCGGATACCCGGGCTGGGGATGGGTTGACTTATAAATAAAAGGCACATTGGGTCGAAAGGCTACGTGTGCGCGTAGCTTTTATGGGGCAGGGGAGGGCACGGAAAGATATTACTGTTTTTTTAGCCGCGTGGCCGGGTCATCGGGGGAGAGATTGTGCCTGCAGTCGCCGAGAGCACGATTCCTGCAAAGTCATCTTCACCCGCACAGCCTGGCCGGCCGGTCAGCCCGCCCCGCCCCACCCCGAGACAGCAGCACCAGCCACCCCCACCCCGCGCTTTGCTCGCAGCGCCCAGAGTTGGGGTGCGGTGCGGACTATGTTTAGAGGCTGATGTCATCGTGACACCCTACTCTGCAGTGTTCCCAGGGGTACCGCAGGGCAGGTTTTCCTGATCTTCGAGGATGTGGGGGTGGAAGGTGGCCTGCCTTCTTAGCACACCTCACACCCATGGTACCCCAGAGATTTTAAAAAAAAATCTCTCTAGAGTTATGAAACAGGGCGGTGCGCGCACGTGGAGGGTGCAAACCTAGTGGCTAGCGCCCCGAGGGGCCAGCAGTCCTCCCCAGTCGCTCCACCCCAGCTCAGGTGTGGGGGCTAATTTCAAGGTTAGCTCACGTGGGCGCGGGCGCCCGGAGCTCCTAGCACGAGTTTGGGGCGGGTTCCTCGTCCCCCAATCTAGGGCAGTTTGTTCAACTGCAGCAAAGGGAGCTTGATGTTCCAGCAGGGAAGGGATTTCTGAGAACTGGGACTGTCCTCAGATGAACCTGCCTCCTCCGGCTGCTGCTGCTGCGGCGGCCGCCTGCGGAAGACTTTTTAAAAGGGCGATGCCAGGCCCAGACGCTCGGCGCGCAAGTGGCTGAACCGCCCGCCACTCTGCGGCCGGAGCAGAGCACCCGCCTCCGAGCGGCGAGCAGGGCCGCTCTGAGCACAGAGGCGCTGCGGGCTAAACTTATCCTCCTGCATATGCATGAACGGATGGCCTTTCCGCTCTGCAATGGAGAGGCCTGGAGTTTTGCGGTAGGCTGCTGAGTGGAGAGAGAGTAAAGTAGGGCGTCGTGTAAGTTTTCGCGCTTGCCGGAGCTCCCCGCCCCCTCCAGACACTGGGTGTTAACTCAACCTGGCCACAAGCAGTTAGCCAGATCCGGCTTTAGCGGATTGTGTTTCAGTTCTAGGGACATCACTGTAGTGGAGAGTACACCCCTTCACTCCTGTCTATGTCCTCGCTAAGGCCACCACCTTCCCTAATTCTGCTTTCAGGAAAACGAACATAGCTTTCCTCAGTAATGGGTGGGATCGCTAAATCTGCAGAGCCCAGGCCTGGAAAGGGAGAGGTGTGGATCCTGCCCAATGTGAGGTCTGACACGTGATCCCCTACCCCCAGCGGGCCATCTGTTCCTTTTCCTTCCCGCCGGGAGGCTGGCAACTCTGTCCAGGCACAGTCCACGCCTCTCAGCAGGAAAAGACAGCGAAAAGTCAGAATCTGCAGAGCCCTGAATCTACAGCATGTGACTGTAGGCTGAACTTCGGGCCTAGAGAAGGGGCCATACCTGGCCTGTGTTTTAAACGGAGTGCCAGGTGATTAGCCCCACCCACCAAGATGGGGAAGCCCTGCTTCCGTCTAAATAAATCTCCAGGGAGGAATCAACAGCATTAGCCTGGAAATATCTTATTGGGGCTTACCTAGGAAAACGAACAGATTCTAAGCTTCCTGTAGGCCCTACCTACAGACCAGTGAAAGAAATGGGTGGCGGTGAGATTATGAAATTAGGAAATAAGGTATGTTAACTTTAGCTTTTGGGAGGTGCTAGAGTTGGAGAAACTACCTTAGATCCTGTTTTTAAAAAGAATAATTTGGGGGGAAAATGTGTTCTCATTAAATACCGGATTAAGGTTCTCCAACCTTCACTGCGGTAACACGTGGTGTAAGCAGACAAGGTAAACCCGAGAGAGCAAGTCTTACTCTAGGGGCCCCTGCCCCAGGATATTTGGGACAGTCTCCAGCAACCCCGTCAGGATTCCACAATCTCCCTTCCTATGTACAGGGATTACAGGTCTGCCCTTCCACACTCCCAACCTGCCCTTTAGGGACTTTCAAAGACCCCTGCTAGGCAGGAGTGTGAGTCTCTGCAACTGTATTAATCTAATCCTATCAGTCTGCAGATAAGGAGGTGGCTCAGAGGGTTAGGTGAGGTCACAGGTCTCATTTTAGGCCCCAGAGGCCTATAGCTTTCAGGCACTACCTTGTACTACATCATTAATGATAATTATTTTAGGAAGCCTTGTAAATATGGCTCATTGTTCTGACTACAGGCTCTTAGCCAGAGCCTCGAGAACTTGGATAATGAAGCCTTCAATTTAGGGAGAGCGTGGAGAGGCGAACAATATAAACTAGAAGCAGTTAAAATCTTTGAATTCCAGCGCACCTCTGGGTGGGGATATTTGGAGTAGAGATGTATAAAGACTAACTTGGGAAAGCAGGCCTCTTATCTTTATGTGATATAATACTAATGGGGTAAATTGCCAAAATTTAATTGAGACAACCAGCATAAGCCTGTTTTAACCATAAAACTATTATAGTACATTCCAACACAGCAAGGAAAATATTGTTGAAAAATACAAGGGAAAAATCATGATGTAGGATTTATTACTTGTGCTATCAAACACATGTTTTTTTTATTTTTTATTTTTTAGCATGTAGCTCTCCTTTAGGACAGACTCCTTTGAATTTCTGTCCTCAGGCCTATCCCACAGTGAAGAAGATAATTATCTGAGAAGGAACGGCCAGGAAAGGGGACTATGGTGCACAGTGCTAGAACTGCTGGGTTTGAAAACATTCTCTCACTCAAGTAGCAGCTGGTTTGCAAATCTGTAAGAGAAATTCACACGGATGAAATCTGCCTTCTCCATCTTTATTTTTTTTATTTTCATTTTTTAAAAATATTTATTTACTTATTATGTATACAATATTCTTTCTGTGTGTATGGCTGAAGGCCAGAAGAGGGCACCAGACCTCATTACAGATGGTTGTGAGCCACCATGTGGTTGCTGGGAATCGAACTCAGGACCTTTGGAAAAGCAGGCGATACTCCTAACCACTGAGCCATCTCTCCAGCCCTTTTCATTTTTTTTTTTTTTTTTTTGAGGCAGGGTTTCTCTGTGTAACAGTCGTAACTGACCTGGAACTAGCTCTTGTAGACCAGTCTGGCCTCGAACTCACAGAGATCCTCCTGCCTCTGCCTCCCAAGTTCTGGGATTAAAGGTGTGCGCCACCACCGCCCGTTTGATCTTTATAACTGATTCGAGAGTATCAGAGAACACGGTCCAAACCACATGAAATTAAAGGGCACTGAAGAGAAGGCAGAAAGAAGTAAGGAAATTTAGAGCTTAAGATATAAAAAAACCCTGAGGTTACTGTATTCAAATTCAGGATCATAATCTTTAAGGAACGATGCAGGCTTTTCTTTTTTTTTTCTGAGAATAATACTTATCTTAATCTTAAAGTTTTTGTTAGCCACTCAGACCTAGACCAGAAGAGACTTGGATGAGTGTAACTCATGCCAGTGGACACACAGGTCGGGGAGGCTATGTAGGCCTTGATCGTGAGGCTCCTGGAGAGAGCCACTGGTTATCTGTGCTGTGTCCTAGGAGGCAGACAGAGGTGCAAATCCAAAAACCATGCACCTTAGGGACAGAGTTTATTATACAAAAAAAGATCACAAATTAAGTAAAATCAATCCCTCCTTCCTCCTTCCCTTTACTGCTTCCCCGCCCTCTCTCCCTCCCTTTCTTTTTTGAGAAAGGCTCTGACTCTTTAGTCCAGGCTACCCCCAGGCTGGTGTCTTCAAATGCTCCACCCTCCTCAGTCCCTAACTAGGACTTCAGGTGTGCACCGTCGTAGCCAGCTCCTGTGAATTCTTCCCTGAAATTAAGGATCTTAGAATGCAAAAATAAATAAATAAATCCAAGATGGCTTCCCTGTTACA